GTGCTGTAATTTAAGTAAAGGGGAAGAAACAGATGAACACAGTTTAAGCGTCTCACACAGTCAGTCAGTCATGATAAAAAAAAGATGTTTAACAATTATCAGATCCTTTTACAGAGACTTCAAATTCCTGATAAATTGGTGATTTGTAAAGAGCTGCCCAGATGAAAACTGCAACAGCAATAGACTTTCTCAGCTCTGAGTGACCAAAATGGTTTTCCTTGGTATGTCATTTCTAATGATTTTGGACTTGTCCGTGAAAAAATGATATACGCTTACATATTTTTGAAGGAAACAATGAAATGTTATTCAAAAATCCTTATTTAGCCATTATTTCCCAACCAAATCTGTAGTATTTGGAAATACTATCCAGTCATGCTCATAATTAGAACTTCTGAAATTCCAAAATGAAACTATGAACAAATGTTGAATAGGAATGTGCAGTTCTATTAAAAAGGAGCGATCTTTGATGCCAGTTAGCCAAACTCCTGAAATTTGTGGGAAGTTTATTGAAAACACTGGTACTATCATCATGCCAGTAAATACTTGATTATCCCACAGAGTTTATGGGCTATAACTAAATTTTACATTGAGATGATTTTTTTCTTACTGTTTTGACAATATTTCCCCCAAAGGATAAAATTACATTTTTACTTATTGTAAATTCATAACTACAGGGATTTGCTGTAACAGTAGCATTACATTTATTTGACCACTACTCTTGTTGAATGTTTTAAATGTCATGGGTCCTTCTGGGGGTAAATCTGGATAAGCTGACATAAAATGAAAGGACAAAATGGAATCTGAAACAGAGGGTGGATTCCACAGCAGCTGTATTCAGGACTGTGATGCTTATTGTGTGATCATTGATCAGCCTTCAGATTCCTGGTGTGTTTGTTACCAAGGAAGCCAACCAGTTTCCCAAGATCTTCCCTGAGCTAATCGAAGAGGAAGAGCTAATGTAACTGGGCTACAGGATAATGGAACTGGTTTACCTGGCCTTTTCATTTAAAAGATAGATGATTGATAGGTAAATGTTCAGTTGAACACAACTAGGCGGAGACTTACTAGTTTTAATGTACTTTAAATGTTCACAGTGACAGAAATTCATAATTTTGTGAGGACTCTGCTACCAAAAACCTGCTTGACATAACTACAGATAGGCTCGGTTAACTGTCTTAGGTCATTGTTATTGAGTAGGATGGAAACACCAAGAGTCTTGGCTTTGATGAACAATGATCACAATCTGACCAGAAAAGTTATATAAATGATTTACTTGTGTACTTCATCATCTCCTACGTGTACAAAATGGCACTGATAAAAGGAAATTGTGCTTATATAAAACCCTGCTACTATAAACAGGAATACCATCTTGCCTGACTCTTTTTTGAGTCTTGAAGAGTTATATAAAGAATCTGCCAAAAAGTATGTATACATATTTCAGCACTTCATCATACGAATAAATGTCTGGAAGCTAACTTCAAGCACCTCTTGTAATTGTAGAGGTCAAAGGTAACTTGTATTAATCTCATGATGTCTCAATAAATTTAGTATCAAAATATTTATACAAGTTTTTCTTTTCCTGAAGTGTGTATACATTCTTTTGGCTGACTCTTCTTTTGATGCTTTGAGGTCTGTACACATACATTGTGGCTATTTTTAAAATATCATTTTTGATAAAAGTTTACTGACTAGTCTTTATCTGATAAAGTTGTAAGAGATTTCTATGGTTTATTTTATGTACAGCTGAAAAATACTATTATATTTATTTGCTAGAGAAAACTGTCTTTTAGTCTTATTTCTTGAGAAAAAATAAATTATCTGCTAGATTTTTAAATTTAAATATTAATTCTTAGATTTATGGTCAGATTCTTTGTCTTTGAGAGCAAGTTTTCTTAGGGTGTATAATATTTCTAGAAGCAAAAATAGATATAAAGAAGATACAGCCAATGGATCTTAGTATTTTAATAAATTAGAAACCTTAGTAAAAACAATTTAATAATTTGTCAGAATAAAATATGATTAATTTTTGAATTTATGGTTAGATTCTTTGTCCTTGAGAACAAATTTTTTTTAGAATATGTTATACTTTTAGAGGCAAAAATAGATTTAAGTAAGATATAGCCAATGGATATTATATTAATAAATTAGAGGGCTGGGAATTTAGCTCAGTGGTTCCACCGCCTGCTTCGCAAGCACAAGGTTCCGAGTTCGATCCTGTTCCAAAAATAAATAAATAAATAAGTAAATTAGAAACCTTGGTAGAAACAATTTAACAATTTATTAGCCAGAGTAATTTTAACATTAAATTGATGTCTCTGTGTTTTTATTTTGTTTTCTTTTGGTGTCACCTTGTAATTTTAGCACTTTTCAAATGGCACTTTCACTGATCAGTCTCTTAATTTGATGGAGACTGAAGGGTAACCAAATATATACAGTTATGATTTAGCCCAGATCTTCTCTGGAATCCATAAGGTTTATGCTGCTTTTCTTGCTTTCCGTGTTGAAGTCACCACTCTTGTTTGGAATACCTCGTGTATTATTATTGTTGCTGCTTCTGTTGTTGCCATCATTAGAAGCTCTAGAGAGATGAGAGCCTCCCCTGGCCTGGGGCAAAGTTGATGCCTCTGCTGAACAATAAGTGGCACCAGAGTAGACAGGAAAGTTTGCTTCATTTAAAATGAAAGCCTAAATTCACATGAGAATGCAGGTTGCAAAGTGAAATATAAATTTTCCTTAGTGAATGACAAAAGTAATTAAACATGGCACAGAAATTACAGTGTAGGGACTTCAGCGGATCCAAATGTGGCTAATATTTTTATTTCTCAAATTTTTACAGAGAAGACAGAGTCCTAGGTCTTGACTGTTATCATTCTCACTCCACCCTCCAAATTCATGAACCCTTTTTCCCTGTGCATACGAGACACACAGGTTCAATCCACTCTGCTTCTATCCGAGGAAAATTGGAAAGGATAAAGTTAATTTAGCTTTCTTTCTTTCTTTTTTTTTTTTTTGGTTACCGGAAATTGAACTCGGGACCTTGCGCTTGCGAGGCAGGTGCCGGAACCACTGAGCTAAATCCCCGGCCATAATTTACCTTTGATATTAGCAACCTTAGACCCTCTGAAACTAAATGAATTAATACTATTTTTAAGTATTTGCTCTATCATGAGTCTGGAGCTAAAACTTTCACTTCCATTACAGTTGCCTTAATATATTTTACATTAAGATAAAACTTCCTCAGATATATACCTTGTGTTAATGGCTCAAGTTTTATAGAAATTATTTATATAAGGAGACTCTAAGAACTAACGTTTTAAATAGGATATTTAATAATATTTTTCCACATGTTGTTCCACAATCATGTTACGTGGTTCTTTCATTTAGAAATAGACTGCAGTCATTCTAAGGTTTATGCCCCTTAAAATACATAAGTACTTCTTAAGAACTTTTGCTGTTGCTTAGAATCTGATGCGACGATTTGTCAAGAGTGTCAGATGAAAACCATAGGTGTAGATGTATATGAATCATGATGATTTTGTAGTGATGGTAAAACACTGTCTGAAATGCGGGACTTTTCCCAAAAACCTCTGACACAAGTAACCTACCTGACCAAACCCTAAGCAAGTAACCTGGAAAAATGTGAATAGTTTCATTTAAAAAAAGATTTGAGGGCCAGGAATTTAGCTCAGTGGTTCTGCTGCCTGCCTTGCAAGCATAAGGTCCTGACTTCGATTCCTGGTAAAAAAAAAAAAAAAAAAAAGATTTGAAAAACACAAGTAGATTGCACAGAAAATCTCTGAGTTAGTTCGAGGTCTAATCTTAAATTATTCATATTACTGAGTAGCTTAGTGTATTTTAGTTCATTATTATTTTCTAATATGATTTTTGGATCACGTTTGGAATGTATATATATCTTTAGCTGAATATTACCCTAAGTGACTAACAGTCAAGCAGCAAGTGTTTATTGAGCACCTCAGACAGAGGTGAAGTAACTTGGGGCCGATACAATGGAAGTTCCTAACCCCAAATCCTCAAATAACCAAGGGAGCTTCCTCTTCATCGCAGTATGAAAGGCGGGACACTCTCTGCTCCCTGTCATCACTTTCTCATAACTTTATCACGACTTGCATCTAAGACAGAATGCAAAGCTTTAAAGAGAGAGTGTAACTTAATATACTGTTTAAAACCAGTTAATTCCCAAAGCTAAATTGGTTTTAATTTATAAAGATCTAAGGATTAAGTAATAAAATAGACAACTTGAATCCATTGCTCTGTTTTTAACCCAATAACCTCTCTTTTCTCATATATATTTCTTTTGCTGGGGATTTAGCTCAGTGGTTCCACCGCCTGCCTTGCAAGTGCAAGATCCCAAGTTCGATTCCTGGTAC